ATAACTCTAATGAAGCAATAAAATATTAAGTGTCCTAAATAATCTAGATATCATAAAGCAATAAAGAAACTAAATAACTAGGGAATCTAACGCCTTGGCTTGCACTCCAAGTCCATGTTTCCTAATCGCCCAAGCACTAGGGTTTCATCTCCCATTCCCGCGCATGCGTCCAGCAGGTCGCCGAATCCTCGCGCGCCTAGGCAAGTTCGCGCGTGCATCCCATCGCTTGCGCGTTCAAACCCGCGCTCGGACCCGATAATATCGAGCGCGTCATCTTCCGCGCGCGCTTGCCCATCCGCGTATCGCGCCTCTCCGGCACGACAACTTAGCCTCCTTTGCACATGCCACGCGCGACTCGCTGCGTTCTTGAGCCTTCTCGCCGTGTCCGCATCACGCACGTAGCGCGTACCACGGGCCATCACGTATCATGTCATGTTAGTTTTTATTGTTGTCATGTTTGTTCCAACAACTCATGGATAATTGATCATGTTATGTCCTTTTATACTCAGTTAGTTGTGTTTGCCGAGAAAAGATCATGTTCGGCCGAGAAACGGCTTAACGCCATAGGCGGCCCACGGTGCGCTCGCCACGGCCATTTTGAGCACGTTATGCAAAATCCTTGATTTCAAGTATTTTCAGTATATTTGATCATATCAGGTCAGTTCATGTTATTTGATGTTGAGTTGCTCGAGAGAAATCGTCGGACGGCCGGCAAGGGCCGGTCGTGGCCGCGCTGCCCGCACGTAGCGGCAGCAGCGCGCCGACAGTCAGTGATGAAGATCGCGTGTCCCGACTGCCGATAAGCCGCTTGCCCGCGCCTTGAATCGCCGATAGGTGCTTCTCGAGCCACAACCGCGCCTCTTGAAACGAATAAAATTGCAATAGAATTTTGGTGGAAAACTAAAGCAAAGTGTTTGAACAAAAGTTCAGAATTTTCTACTACTAACTAAGACTATTCAAGATTCAATTCATCATTCTCCTGAAAATAACAAGAGGGAAGGGGCCTTTATATAGGCACAAAATATGTCTAATCCTAATCTACCTAGGGAACTAATAAAGCAATAAAATATTAAGT